CCCCAAAACCCCAAAACCCCACAGTATTTCAATTAATTTGAAAATAAACATAAAAATTATTCTGAAAAATAAATGAGAGAGACAGTTAAAATAATATAAGTTAAAATTAGATTTTAATGTCATCGTATTCAAATCACAAATAAACATTTCATATTCAGCACCCTACAAGTTTAAGTAATTAAAACTAATCTACAGCCTATGGTTTGTTTGCTGATGAATTAGAAAGCACAGTTTCTAGCAATTTGAGTGGCAATTAAACAAATAATATTGTTGTTTAAACAAAGCAAAGTTGGAATAAAAGTAATAATCGCAAGTCTCAAAGAAGATCTGAATCAATTAAATAAGTTAAAAAACCAATATATGAAAGAAATCCTTTTACTGAATCCCTTGGAGAGTCTTCAATCCAAGATCTAGAACAGTAAATGTTTAATAAGAAGTTTATGCCAGTTAGAATAACTATCAGGTAAGTACATGAGATGTGCAGGTAGTTTGGAGTGAAGAGATTTGGCAAAAATGAAAGAATGATAACATCATACACTGAAATGGTAGATAAAATGTAAGCAATTTTATTATTTAACTTTAGATTTATTTACATCCATTTATTAGGTTTAAATCTGATGAGATGAGATGTTCAATAGATTTCATTAGTAAGCTAGAATCTAGTTTATTTTGCTACATTTTAAAAGATTTTACTTGCTTAACTCATGTAATGCTCCATTCAGACTAATGCGGACCTAAAGAGCTCCAAAGGCTTGAGGATAGCTATAAAAGAGGAAATAAAAAGGCTACTATATTTGACTTTATGCACAAATTTGAAAATAATCCAAAAGCTCAAGCAATGATGAATAATTTGTTAGATTAATCTTTTAATCAAAATACTGGTGGTGGTAACACGAGTGTCAGTTTCAGCATTAATAATACTACTAATGTTAATTCTAGCGGTGGTGACGTTTAATCTAAATCTAGTGAAAAGAAATGCTCATAAAATTATAAGATAAATACTCTTATCCTCCCAGGTGTTTTAAAGAATATTGCAGTTTCTAAAAATCTAAAAGTTCTTCACTTTGTGCACTATAAATTCAATTCTTAGTGTTGGGAAGACATCGGTGTAGCAGTAGGGAATTCAAAAACGATGAAGACATTTGCCTGTAATGCATGCAATTTACATTCACTTAATCATCTAGAGATGCTGATGAAAGGATTGCTTTCTAATAATTCAATAGAAAAACTTGATTTGTCCGATAATCAAATAGGTGATTAAGAATCTATTTATATTGTTAGATTCATGAAACAGTAAGGTGAAAAAAGAGAAAATACTCTTTGGATGACTGGTCTTAGACATTCTGATTATGATTCTAAACCTTACTAAAATCCATCAGAAGAAAATTAAATGTCGAATTTAGTTATGCAGCCTAACTCCCCTTACAAAAATATTTAAATGATTTAAAGTAGATATTTTTAGAAAAAAGATAGGATTAAAAATAGGAAAGGTTTAAGAGAAGTTATACTTAAAAGAAACTATCTAGGCTCATTTTTTATGGAAAATTTATAAAAATGCTTAAGATATGATAGATTTATTAAGATGGTCGATCTTTAAGGTAATAGATTTTAACAATAGGATATTAAATAATTGATAAAATTTTCTCTCAGAGAGAACACATCATTAGTATCGATTGATGTCCAAAACAATCCAGGTTGTACGGAGAAATACAAAAAGTAAATAGCTTTATGCTTGCTTAAGAATATTGAAATGATGAAAAGAGATGGTATTGAGTTAAAGGAAGAATGGTTTAGACCAGAAGTTTTGACTTTTAAAATACCAAACAGGATTCTAGAAGGACTAGGAATTAATGTAATAATCAAGAAAAAGTAATCTTTAAATCACACATACAATGGTTCTATGAGTAATTCTCATTCAGGTAGTCCGGCAACAGGAAGAATAAGGCAAAAATCAGTCAACAATAGTTCAATGCACAAAAAAATTATATCCAAAAGTAGAAATGATTTTCCAAAATAGCAACCAACTGATGAATCATAGCACAATTAAGATCTTCTTAATCTAAAGATAGTTGTGAAGAAGTCTTAGAGATCTATCAAGAGTTCCACACGACACGCAGTTGATCACAATTTCATAAATAAAAACTAAAATTAAATTAACTTTAGAGACTAAAGCTAGAATAATAGATCTTCAGCTAAAAGATCATCGTCTAATAAGAAGTTTTCGAATCAAATTCTTTATCAGAAGCTCTATTAAAATTAGCAGTCAACTGAGAAGAAACCACCCTTAGATAAATCAGCTAAAAAGAAGATTATTTCAAGAATACCTTAGGATGAGAAATAAAGTGCTCAAAAAGTCATTTATAATAAAAGTAACTCCTATAGTGATTTTTAAGTAAGCAATATGAATAAGAGCTCAAAGAAGATAGATTTTTCAATTGTTGAATAAAAAATAGAGCCAGTCGAAATATTCACAAATATTTCTGAATGCGACTTGAGAGATGCTAATGTTTAGCAAGATAGAAAGGTAACGTCTAGTATGGATAAGCATAAGATGAGCATGAAAAATTAAAGTGAGAGCTGTGCGAATTGCAAAAATTATGAAAAATAGTACTTCCAAGCAGAGGCTAAGATCATGAAATAGCAAGATAATTATGTAAAAGCTTAAAAGGAATTTGATCAGAAAGTCTAAGAACTTTCAGATCAAGTAATGGAGAATCAATCTTTGCTCCCTTAATCAGAAGATGACATTGATGTCATAAGACAAATAATCGAATAGTAACCTTAAAGAATTATTCAAAGAATAGATAATATTTTCACTGAGTTAACTTTCTTAATGGATGCTGTATAATTCTAGGAATTAGATCCAAGAATTAAAGTTATTTTATAGCAGCATATTGAATAACTCATGTAGATCTCTGAAGAAAAAAATATCTTTGATAATATTGGTTAATAATCTCTTGAATCTTAGGAAGTAAAATTAGATAAATAAAAATTAAGTTAAAATTCTAAAAATAACCCAATCAGTTAGTAACTAGAAAATAATAACATGAAAAATAATTAAAATATTTTGAGTAATTCTACTTATCAAAATCTCAATGTCACATCAATTAGCAAAGATAAAAGCTTGATATAGAGTCATGGGAACATATATTCACCAAATCAAAATAAAATGGTAGTATAATCACACTTTTCTGACAATACCTAAAGAAGTGAATAGCCAGTAGAGGATCTTGATAGTGTTTAACTTATGGCAATGAGATTAAATAAACTTTAGATGTAATAATCTGCAAACAGTAAATCTTCAAAGTATGATAAAAAGGTGAATAAAACTTAGGCCGAGCTCTATAAATAATCTAGCAATTAAATAAAAAAATTAGATGATTACGAGGAATACCCTCATCCCTACACCTTAGATGACTAAAATGATCTCAGCTTTAATGAAAGAAGTTAATCCAACAGCGGAAACAATGATGATATAGAGGAACTTAATTCTGAGGATAATGTTTTCAATCAAAATAATCTTTAAAAGAAAGCTGATCTTTCAGCTTAAAAGAATAAATAACAATAGAATTTACAGCAGTAGCATCAATAAAAGAAGTATCCAAATCAATAATAAAATCATTTACAGTAGCAATACTATAAATAAAGTCAAAATATGAATAATGAAGATATTGAGGATTTATACTATGATGAGGATGAGGATGCTATATAGAATTATTGAAATTTTAACTTAATTTAAAAACCCAATCACTGATTTGCACATTTTGTGAATACTCTTGGGGTTTTGGGGTTTTGGGGTTTTGGGGTTTTGGGGTTTTGGGG